TGTGTGTGTGTGTGCTCTGTGGACGGGGTTTAGGACAAGAGAATTTGCTAGTGGGTGGGAGGGTGGGTGGATGTGTAGACATAATGTGTCTATGTATATGTGTGGAGGAAAAATGTTCAACACTGGCTAACATCTTTAATCTTGGAAGTCCCCCCTTTACTTCCTTTCTCTTCTGCAACCATATTACGAGTCGTATATTATACTCTTTAAAAAAAAGAAACGCAGAAACGCATAAGTGCATAGTACGCTATTACACTCATCTTACTAAAAGGTCTATAACTTTAATTGTAAGTGAACAAACACTTCAATAGTTTTGAACTTAACTGACAGCAAGTACTGCTGAATTTTTATTTTTAAAAAAACACACGAAAAACAAAAACAAAACAATAACAACAACAACAACAACAACAACAACAACAACAACAACAACAACAACAACAAATCAACAACGACAACAACACTCCCCCCCCAAAAAAATAATAATTAAAAATTACAAAAAAACCCAAACAATATGAGTCTAGAATATGCGGGGTTTTTTTTCAAGAGTTTATATTTACCAGACCACTTCCTTCCTCCCCTCCCCAGACGTTCGACGTGGTCAGTACCCCTCAGCCAATCAACGCAGCCTATTCTCCTGTGCGTCTTGACCTTCACATGGATCAGCCCCACTATGAGTCGCCGCCTGGACTTCAGATGTTACATTGTATAGAGTGAGTCACACACACACACACACACACACACACACACACACACACACACACACACACATACACCATGAGTCGCCGCCTGGACTTCAGCTGTTACATTGTATAGAGTGAGTGAACAACACACGCACTCATACTCTCACACATACATACACACACATACACAGACACACACACACACACATATGCACACACATACATGCACATGCATTATTACTTATTGCTATCTTGAAACAACTGTCTTTCACTTCACAGTTACATAAAGACCTAACATATAAACTATTAATTACCACTACCCTGAACCAACTTTCCATTGCTTCTCTATTACATTAAGACCGATCACATAGACTATTATCATCATCATCCAGTGCCAGATCTGCAACAGACATCGGCGATCATGGCTCTCCATTCATTCCTTTGCTCGGATGCTCTCAAAAAAGC